ATTCCCCCCAGCCCTGTGTCTGAGAAGCTTTTGGGCAGGGCTGTGAGCCTCAGAGCGACTGGTCGCCTACTGTCCAGTTGGAGGTGTGGGTGCCCTGAAGAGCCACTGGGGACAGGGCTCAGCTCCAAGGGGCCTGGTGCAGTGGGCTGCCCTGCCTCCCTGGCGACTGGCCTCAGCCCTAGGCAGCCGTGAGTGGGAAGGGTGTGCCAAGTAGCTCTCCTGCAGCGTCTTTTTTCCCGTGTTATTCTGGCCCTGCCCTGTTTCCTAAGGGGCACTGAAAGGCAGGCCCTGGAGACTTCAAATGCCAGTGGGTTCTTCACACAGCCCACCTCCAGCCCTGGTCCCGGGCTCAGGGCCACCTGCCCCTCTCTCCAGGATACTGTGCATGTCCCACAGGGCCTCTCTCCTCTGTGTTCCTCGGGCCTGGCACACCTGACACAAACGCACATGTGGGCCAAGCAGAGGCTCCACGAATACCTTTCATCATCGCCCAATGGGAGGGAGGGCAGGAAGGAACTGGGAGGTGGCTCCACCAACTCCAGCCCCAGGGTGGGCAGGGGAGGGGTGCTGATGTGGGATGAGGGCAGTGTCAGAAGGGAACAGGCGGGCACTGCGAGACCCCTGGCCATGCCTCGTCCTCCTCCCTCAAATCTCTCTCCACTCACCACCACCAAAGGCGGCTTCCTCAGCTCACACCCCACCTGCCAGCTCCCATCCCCAAAAGGCAAGCAGCCATGGCAGGCTGCCTCTTCCCACAACCCTCCTCCTAGTCATCAGCACCCTGGGGGGTAAGGCCTGGCAAGTGGCCTCCTGCCCTCAGGGCTGGGCTGTGTCTGAGCCACTTGGGAGCCCGGCCCAACCCCATGCTTGACGGAACCACAGACCAGAGGCTCTGGTGGTCAGTGCCCAGGGGGAGGGGAGGATGAAAGGCCTTCAAAGGCTCTCATGCAGGCCAAGTCAAGGACAGGTGGCTTCTGTTTAGAAAGGGCATCCAGAGACCAGAACAATTGTGGGAAGGAGCTGAGGCAGCAGGGGCAGAAGCCTCTTCTCCCAGCACCCACACTCCCCGCTCCTTGTGGCTGCAGGGCCCCCCCTGTAGAAGTGGGGCCCTTTGTCTGTGAGAACGAGGTCTCGATGCCAGGCCAGTCCACTGGATCACAGCTCAGGTGTCCTGCCTCCCCTGGGGAGCCTGTATCCCACAGGGGCCTCTGCTTCCTGCCCGCCCACTGCAGCCTCCATCTGAATACCCTCTCCCAAATCCTCACTAGCCCTCCTGCCTACCTCAGGGGCTCATTCCAGTTCCCCTCCAGCCCTTTCTGTGGGAGAACCACCCAGTCCAGGGCAGACCGTGGTCGGTGCTGAGGCCCCACTCCCTGCATACAACGAGCAAAGGTCCAGACTGCTGTCACAGGGCTGGGGCAGGTGAGGGCTGCTCAGGGCAGAGGCCATCTGTCAGCAGCCCAAGGAAAAGGCAGCTGCTGCCATGTCCGCCCGAATAAAGTGTTTGGGGCCTTTGGGGATTTGATCACAGGAGGAGCTAGAAATGAGCCTTGTGGCTCAGGAGGGGGCAATGCTCTTGAGAAGGATCCTGAGATTGGCTGGAACCTTATACCCCAGTCTCTTCTAAGTCCCACTCACCGCACTGAGTCCCTTCTGTGCCTGAACCTTGCAACAAATCTCTGGCGTAAATCCCCTGGCAGGATCCTCCCATAAAGCAGCGGAGAAGCACAGCCATGCTCAGGTCACAAAAGGGGAGACAGCCCTTCCTGCCTGACCCTCATGCCCAGCTGGCTCAGCCCACCCTGAGGCCTCGAGATGCTTGTGGAGCTGTGGCCCCGCCACTCAGCTGGAGATCCCAGATGGGCTGACACTGGGTGGACACCACGCTGTCTCTGACCACCACAGCCTGTGCGGGTCCTTGGCTCAGACTCCAGCCCTGGAAGCTGGCCTTTGCCTCCCTCTGGGCAGGTCTCTGGGGGTGCCGGGGCAGGAGTCCTGGACTCAGAGGGCATGACCCCAGGATCTACGAGAGCAGCTGAGGGTGGCCAGCCCTTGCTGAACAGGTCAGGCCAACGCTCCAGCTCAGGGAAGGTCTATCTGCACCGGGAAAAGTGTTCCTGGGATTAACAACTCCGACTCATGGAATAAAAATGCTTTATTGTGCAAATCCCACACAGGTCCCAGGTCCAGGGCCAAGTCTACAGCTGTAGTCGGGCCCTGGCTCCGTGTCTGCTCTGTGGTCCCTACCCTGGCCTGAAATGCCAGGGTCTCCTGTGGAGTGTCCAGCAGGTATCCATAAGTGTGCCCATGTGTGGGGAGGGCCTTCTTGGGCCGCAGGCACTATGGCAGTCCCAGCCTGAAGATAGGTGGGGCAAAGTCAGGTCCCCACCTGCCCCAGCTCAGGGTCCACACAGGTCAACACAGTCTTTCCCGCTGTGGAACACATGGTAGATGCTGGTGGGAGGGAACATGGTGACAGCACCAAGCATGGAGCCCACCTGGATGGCCACACCAGCTGCCAGCAATGCCGGCCGGCCCCCGCCATGCAGCAAGGAGCTGGTAGCCACCTTCACATAGGAGAACACGCCCAGACACAGCACCCACGACAGCACCTGGGAGGGTGGATGCAGCAGCAGGCTGAGCATGAGATGTCCCAGCTCTGGGGCAAACACCCTCCTCACTCCCACCCTCTTTGCTTCAGTGTCCCCAGTGTACTTACCACAAGGACCACCCCTGCAAAGGTGCCCACCAGGGGTGGGCAGGGGCTCAGGACTGCCAGCGCCATCAGGTAGGCCCCAAACAGCATGCCCAGTAGAGAGAGACTACCCAGTCCTGCCAGTGACCTGCCGAGGGTGAGCAGAAACTCAGGGCTGGCTGCACGAGGACCCAGCCCCCATCCCTAGTTCCACCCCCTGAATGACTTGGGGCCCTATGTGCACCTGCACAGCACACCCATGGCCAGGAAGCAGGCGAGGGGGTTGGCGGCGCTGCCCAGCACCACAGCCAGGTGGTAGGCCAGGCGCCCGTAGGGCAAGCAGGAAAAGCTCTGCACGGCAGGCAACACGCCATTGGTCAGTGCGTTGGTGACGGCCAGCAGGCCCAGCAGGCAGGCACTATGGGTGGAGAGCTGATGGGCCTTAGGGTCTGGGCTGGCAGTGGTGCCCGCTGCCTGGCTCAGTGGCTCCTGCAGCGGCGAGGCCTCTTCCTCCTCCTCCTCCACTCCTGGGGCTCCCATCCGGAGGTCAGGCCCTGGGCCCCCTGTGGGTATGGATGGTGGTGACGGCAGCAGTAGCAGGAGACCTTGGAAGGCAGCAGCCGAAGTGACCAGAAGGGCAGTCAGTGCCCAGAAGAAGGTGCTGGCAGGAAAACGCTCTGGGAAGTAGTGGGGGGGCCCAGGGGTGCCATTGGTGGGGGCTGGCGGGCACTCAAGGCGGCCCACACCCTGCACTAGGGCCAGCAGACAGGGCAGCAAGGAACTGAGGCCCTGACCCAGGAAGAAGGACCGCAAGAAGGGAGGTGGCAGGTGGCTCAGGAAGGGCAGGAAAGTGACATTAGAGGCACAGCAGGCCAGTGCCAGCACCAAGGCCAGCGTTAAGAAGGCCACAGAGTGGAGCTGCCCTGCCACTGGCGCCACGTGGTGCCACAGCAGGGCCAGCAGGGCTGCGCCCACCATGCTCAGCATCTGCACCACCTGGATGGGGGCTCGCTCGCCCTTGCCCGGGGCCAGCCGCCTCCACAGGGTCACCACCAGCAAACCCAGGTTCCCCAAAGCCACAAGCACAGCGAGGTATGAAGGTAGGCTCCAACCTGCAAGGAAAGGAGGCAGCCACGTCAGGGGCAGGATGCTAAGGGACCAAGAGCAGCTGCAACCCACTTTCCCCAGGCACACCTATCCCACACACTCCCACTCACCCTCGGGGAGGTCTTTTACCACCACAGGTAGCTCCACCCAGATCCCATTGATGGCAGCCCAGGAGCCCATGCCGAACAGGGCTACCAGCAGGTGGGTCAGCACCAGACGGCCCAGCGGGGGTGCTGCCATTCAACCCAAGGCTGGGTCCTCTACGACAGGGCAAAGGTCACAGCCAGCTCCTCTTTCCACGCCTAAGTCCAAAGATGCTTCAGCTCTTCTGGGAACTGAAAAACTTCTAGCTTGAAGGAAACACACCCGCACGCAAGATCACAAGGAGGAGACACAGAACCGGAGTCAGAAGAGGACCAGACCGCCAAGACCAGGGAAACGCGGAGTGCCCGGGGGTGGGGGATGGGGAGGAGGAGGGACCAAAACATACCAAGAAGCACCGGCTACCTGTGTCGGAATGACGACACAGGAAGGCGGGCAGACAGAAAAGCAGGAAGCCGTGCCTAAGGCGCCACGGCCCCAGGGCAAGAGCTGATCTTAGGGTCTGAGTTGCAGAGACCACCACCACCCTCACCCCAAAACGGACACGAGGCCAAGGACCCCGGGACAGGGGCACCTCTCAGGCGCCACGCACACCTCTGCGGTTTATGCGCCCACCTTGGAGTGCGGGGCTGCAGCGAGACCCAGGACCGCCGACGCCCCGTCGCGCTCTGAGCGGGTGTGGCCGCAGCGGGCACCGCTCCTCGCTGCGTTAGGTGGGCGGCGGGGAGCCGCGGGGCGAGGGGGTCGCTGCGCCTCCCGGTCCGGCACCCGCACGCTCCCCGACCCGGCGGCGGGCCGGCCACGCTGAGAGGGTACCGCCTCTGGCCCAGGGTCGCGGCCTCAGCCCAGAGCCGGTGGGGCCGGAAGACGCGGCCCGGCTGGAGCGGGGACTCTATTCACTGCGGGACTCCGGGACTCCACTAACCGGCCCACCCCAGGCATGGCCCACCCCCGGAAGTCCCGCCCCGGAAGTCGAGTGCTCAGCCGGCGGGGAGGGGGCCGGCTTGGGGCCTAGACCCCGCCCCTCCGAGGGTACGCCGCGCCCCCGCCTACTCCACGGCGGCTCCGCCGCTTCCGCCGCCGGCCCTCGCCCCTTCCGCTCCTCTGGGCGGGCCCGGCAGCGCGCGGAGTGGTTATGGCTAGCGCGGCTGCCCGGAGGGCCCGGCGCAGAGTCCGGGGAGTGCCGCCGGCCGGGGCGCGGGCCCGCTCGGCCGAGGACTGGTGGTGGGATCGGCTGGCGCCGAGCGGCTCCGGGTACCACCTGCTGCAGGCGGACAGCATGCTGCTGGTGCTGCCCGGCCCGGGGCCCG